GTAGCCAGCGTATCTCGGAAAGGTACAAGGCCGTTTTAGTTTTTGTGCCCTTTCGGAAAACAGTGACGGTTTCACTGTTGCCGTCTCCGGCCCTTGGGTGTGCTGCCACGAAGCAGTTTCATTTTTTTTCTCTTGTGCGATTCTATCGGGTGTTGTTTGATGGTTGATGACGGAGGCATGGGGTCGGTGAGTGGTTACGCGGATGGGCGTCAGCTACGATCTGGGTGGTTATCGCATAGCTGGGTGTTTTCGGGGCGAATGTATTCGCATGCTTGCTGTTCCATCTGGCAACGTTTTGGTGGCATGGTTATCGGTAGATCCTTGGTGCAGCTCTGGTACGGTCGCGTTGTGGTCATCATGCGAAGAAGTAGGAAGCGCGGCATGCGTGGTGCCCTCAACCCAAAAACTACGCTGCTGCTGTGAGCAATTTCTGGTTGTTTGTGTCTTCCTCACCCCCGCTGTCCGACCTCGGTGTGCGTTTGTTCAGGCTGGTGGCGACGTGTTTGCGTCCGTCCGAGGCAAGATACCCACCAAGGGAGGCCTGGCTCGCACCCCCACGTCCGACACGGTATGCACATCTCGCGTTCCATTGAATTAATTGTGGAACAGTGGTTGTTTTTGTCCCAAGGCGTTTGCTCATGAACGAGGGAGGATTGTGCACCGATGGCAACAATAGTGGTTCCGAAAGCAGTCGGCCGGCAGGGGGGGTTGTTTTTTGTGTCGGTTTCATTGGCATCGTTCGTGGGTGGCACCATTAACCAGAACGCTAGAGAAGGTGGAAGTCTACCTTGCTTTTCGGGAAGCTATGGGTCGAACGTTTGTTGAAGCATTGACGCATTTTGTACTCGGGAGGATAACTTTCTAAGAGCCTTTTGGTGCTGGACCGTCCTCGCGGGGTTGCCGTTCTTTTTTTTTCTTTTTCTTTTCAAACATGACAGCTGTAGTGGATTGGCAGGCAGCGCGCCCTGAATCAACCGGTCTGCCCGAACTCTTCAACCTGTATCTACCACAAACATATTTGGTCTTCGCCACGCCCCCAAACCTGCCTGTCCTGCCTGTCATGCAGGAATCGGTCAAGTCGGCCCGCTCCGGCCAATCCGTCCGCTCCGTCCGCTCGATCAAGAGCGCCAGCACCACCGCCAGCAACATCAGCGCCCGGCTGGCCAGGGCCGGCGCCATCCCCTCCAGCAGCAGCGGTCCCGGCGGCGGCGGCGGCGGAACTTTCTCTTCCCCGAAGTCCGAGAGGGCAGGGGGGCGGGCTAGGGGTACCTCCCCCCGCTCGGCCACCGGGGCTCCGTCGAGGCCGGCGGCGGCGGCGGCGGCTCGTTCCGCTGGTCGCAACAGCGGCGGGGGCGGGGGCGGCGCCGGTGGTGGCGGTGGGCATGGGCGTGGCCGCGCGGGGCGTGACGTGGAGCTGAGGTCCGGGAGGTCTCCGCGGGCTGGTACGAGGGCCATGGGCGGACGCACCGGATGGCTGTGATTTTTGTCGTTGCTGTTATTGTTGTTGTTGTTGCGTGCATGCTCTGTGAGTGTTGGTTTGATTTGATTTCGTGCGAGTCACGCCGTCTTGTTTGGGATTTGGGGCGTTCGTGGAAGACGTGTGTGAGTGTTGCGAGAGATCAGTTTTTCTAGACCGATGCGACCATGCGACGTAGGCGCCGAACAACGGTATGCGTGGGCCGTGGCCAGGAGTGTTTATTCGCGCGCTCTTTGTGTGTGTGTGTGTGTTTTTTTTTTTTTGCACCGACCGCGCTGTTTGGCCGGGTGACCAGTGAAAAGAGGTGTCAGTCTTGTAGCGTGTGTACAGCGTGGCGGCCAGGGTGTTTATGAAGCCCCATGCCGTGGTAATTAGAATTTGTGGTTATGCACGACGCGCTCGTTACCCTGAACGGAGTGGTGGTGGAAACGGCTGAGGTTGGCTTGAAGCAGCTGGCCACAAGTCGTAAGCATCGAAAGAGCGCAATCACTGCTGTTTACGATCGGTTGGGGCTGGCTTTGAGCATGCGCGTGGGAGAGGGGGGAGGAGGGTGCTGCTGTGGGTGGACGTGTATCATATGCCGGGGAGGAATACGGTCAATGCCACACGTATTTGTTTTTGTCGCCCGAGTATGAGCAAACGTTATTTTTCTTTTGTTGTCGTCCTCGAGGTCTACGGTAGGAACTTGAAAGGGCATGAGATCCGACCCGGCGAGGCATTACTGGGGAAACAGACCTCTGTATAGGAAACGTAAACAAGAAGGGAAGGGCGCACTGGGTGTGTACATGTATTCATCGCGTCGTCGGTAAAGGATGCATGCCGTTTTTATTCCCCGCTGCTGGTGGTAGGGTCATGTATAGTGGATTGGCATGCGCATCTGCCGTGGTTTCGGTACATAAAGCACGGCCGGGAAGCACCAGACGACAATTACCAGAAGTTTTCTGTTCGAGACTGCTGTGTGATTGTTGGGAGCTGTTGAAGGTGTTTTCCTTCGGTGGGAGCACGACCGTGTTCTTACTGGCATTCCAAAGGGTGTTACTGCGGTGGAAGCGCGACCGGTTGTCGATTCGAAGGGACGGGCGAGAGATGGGGGGCCTCTATCAGATCGCTCCGAGTGCAGGGTTGTGTCGACACCTCGGGAACGCTCATAGGGCCTTGGTGGCGAATGATTTGATGGGGGTGCCGCTTCGGTTGTACGTTAGTGGCGAGAAGTGTCGTTGTCGTTGATATTGTTGAATAATCTTGGCGTTATATTCCGTGCGGTCGAAGCTTATCTTCGCTTTACGGTCGAAGCTCAGTATGGTACCTCCTGGCACCCGTAAGTGGGTGTTGCGATTCTTTGCGGGCAGCCCGCTTTTTCAGCGTGCAAGCAAATGATGGTCGCTATTGTTGTGGCATCTTCAGGCGAATATCTTTCGGGGCGAAAAGCACTTTGTCGTGCTGTACTTTAGGTTGTTGTAACTGGCGGTTGTATTGGGGGGGACAATTGTCTTCGTTTTGCTTGAGGGATTAGTCTTGGTCTGTAGCTGTTTTGACAAAAAGAGCCGGTCAAGCTGATGTAAAGAACGTCTTGTGTCAGGTTTTCAAACGCTCTCCCCCATTTGCGCACCACGGAACCGAACACCCTCACTGCTATTCGGCCAGCCTGGATAGTAGTCACCTTCGAAAGGGACCGGCGTAAATACCGGCAAGGATTATATGGCACACAACACTATTAAGGTGAACGTGGTGCCTCGTCGACGACTATACATGCAGTGAAACGTCGTGTTGTAGAGCAAGGGATACATACTTGTTTTTGTGCCTATTTTTTTTTTTTTGTGCCTGGTTGGACAACAAGTACGTTCTATATAAAAGGGGGAGGCGACGTTCTGTGTATGATATCTACAAGGTTGATATTTTTCTGTTTGATCTACATATCTCGTTGTTACCGCAAAGCGTTCAACCATCTACTGTAGAGTGCGCTCCGGGGCTCGATGGGTGCTTAGCTCGAAGTAGCTTGCTGTTTTTATTACTTCGTGGAAGGAGACCAAGGCCAGGTTCGTGTCCCGGCCGGCACGGACAAGATACAGACGTACAGTACGCGGATAAATAAAACACAGCAGAAGTCCCTGATTAGTGCCAGTGCCCGGTTTAGTGCCGATGTTTTCGGCGGGCACACACTGAATTTTCGGGACATTCTCAATGCTTTGAATAGTAGTGCCGATCCGGTATAGTGAAGGTGAAAATTCTGGGCACGTACCGGCACTAAACAGGTACCTCTACTGTACACGGGGCCGGGGTTGGGGGCGTCCATGTAGACGGGCAGATGGTGCGGTGCGCACAAACAAAACCAACCTCTGCGTTGTCTAGACCATAACTTTCGTTTGGTTGTGGACGTCGCTTGTTGTGTGTGATGGCGCGGTTGATGGGTGCTGCTGCTGGAGGTACCGATAAATGTAGACGCGAAGCGCTCCGCGATTTCGTTGGCCAACACGTACCGGTGCGCTAGGGAGGAGGGAGAAGGAGAACAGGTGTTCATGCTGTGCCCTTCGTGGCTAGAAGCGCTGTGCAATAGAACATATTGTGTCGTGTTGCTATGCGAGTTTAAATTTTTTATGTATGCATACGCGAAACGAATCAAAAACTAGCGGTGACGGCAGTCAAGCACAGGTGGGCCAAGACGTCTTAATTCTTGCCGAGGATTTCCGCAAAAGCCTCGGGGATTGATCCGGGACACTGGACACCCTCACGTGCTTGAGAAACACCTCCCGCCGCTTGCATGTGTTGTTGTTGTTGTTGTTGTTGTTGTTGTTGTCTTGACATTAAAAACAGTTCCGGTCTCCACTCAGTACCTTTTTATGTCCGTACTATACCATACCATAACAGTCCAACTGACGCGGACGACTTCCGTGGTCACAAGCCAACTGCCCCCCATAGGAGGGGGGGGTACACCTTTCTAAAAAATAAATAAATAAAAATGGACCAGAAAATTCCTCCAAGGCGCAATTTGTTATCCAACCAAAAAGAGATCAACACTACGGTAACTATAATCGGGATAACGAGACGATCGACGACCCCGGTCAAAGGGATGAAATGACGAAAGGCGCAAAAAGAAAGAAAAGAAAGAAAAAACAGAAAGAGAACAGAGAGAAAGAAAGACAACGAAAGAAATAACGGCAGATAGACAGGTCCCCTCCAACGCTCCAGTCTACCGGAACAACATCGAAGTATAGGCCACTACTAACGCGACAGCAAATAGATACATACCGATTTCCGACGACACAACACCACTTCGGGGGCACTGCGAGGGGGGGGGTTAGCGACATGACGGAACAAAATACGGGGATACATCCAGCTGGTATTCCTGCTATCGTCTCCATCCTCATCATCATCCCGGGACACATCTCTCTATGCGTTCAGCCATCTCCGTCCTGCTCTTTTCGGCTGCAGTCGTGTCTTCCGTCTGTCGACGTTCCCCCCCCCGTTCCCTTCCCCCCCTTCTCTGCTGTTTTCAAGGATAAAAGGAAAGCCGTTTGGATCGGTATCGATCGGCGCGTGCAGCGGGTCGTTGCCTGCCCACAGTGGACCATCTTGTGCGACACACGGACGGGGTGCACACGGTTCATACGGTACAGCAGTAGGATTGGATTGGATTCGGCCGGAAGTTCACCAGCGCCACTGTCAAGCCGAACCGGTTCTCGGAGTGCAACCACATGGACGGCGGGAAGCCTGCCGTTGTTCGTTCGGTCTTTCGTCAACAGGGCTACAAAAAATACCCCCCGACGACGCGCAGAAACCAAGCCCCCTCGCACGAAAGGGCTGTCACGATTTAACCTAGTTAATACTGTAGCCAACACAGACGTTCATAACACAACCCCACATTGGAGATGCCCGATGTTCCAAGTACAACCGAGTCAACAAAACCAGCGCGCCAGCCGTCCACAAAACACGCCCATGATTACTTACAGCAGTAGTTGACGCAAAACGACGGATCAATAAGGCGTCACTCACATCAGCGAACCAGCGACAAATACGGAGTACTGTGAGGAAAACAAGCGAACAAATAAGAGACGAACCACACGCACGAACACAACTTCTAGTCACCGCCGTCGCCGGAGTCATCGCCGCCGCCGCCGAAGCCACCATCATCGTCGCGGAAGAGAGTGTACAAGCTCTTGAGCGTCCCGACGATCCCTCCCCCGGTCCCCTCTTCATCATTCCCCATCCCCTCCCCCCAATCACCACCACCTCCTCCTCCATCGCCTGCCGCGTCCTCCCCATCGAAGCCACCTCTATTCCATGTCTGAGGAACGAACATTTGGGCGGCGTAATCAAGAAAGGAGAGTTTTGTTGTTGACGTGGACGTGTCCAAACTGCGAGCGGAAAAAAGCGACGGGTCTACTGTATGTGTCGGATGCGGAGAATTAACAGGGCATGCATGGCAGGCAACGCAGTTAAACCATCGAGGGTCGGGAAAAACAAGAGCTCGCTCTCAAAACGTGCCATTCCATTCGACCAAAAAAAAATCATTGCCTCTCAAGAGCGGGGACGACAGAGAGCCGCCGCGTAACTCAAGACTCAAACAAAGCAGGACGCAAGCTCGGCTTCCTCATCAGATCAAAATGTCTCTCACTGTCTCTCCTGACTCCGGCGGCGGCTCGGAGAACCCGGCGTCGGCTTCGTTAAACCCGTCGGCTGGCTCACCCTCAGGAAAACCGGTAGAAGCCTATTATTTGGTAGCACCGTACGGTACCGTGCAGAGGCCGCGCACGGGACGGAGACAAGAACCGAGTGAACATCATCAGTGTGTAGAGTGGCGTCATCACTGTGTGTAGAGTTGCGTCACTGGTGTAAGAGTGGGGTCACCAGTGTAATGGTGACGTCTTCAATATGTAGAGTGGCGTGATCGATCAACAACACCTAGGTGAGGCACGCAAAACATCGGGGGCTGTTTCTCCAACGCGTTCGAAATAAAACACCAACGAAGGACAACACAGACCAAAGCTCTCAAGAACCCGAAACGATTTCGTCAACTCCGGTTCCCTTTTGTAATCCGGGCGGACCGCTCAAAACTCGACACATCGCCATCTACCAAACCAAGGCCAGCAACCACGGATACGAGCACCCGCGTGGGTCAGCCCCGACATGTTCACCTGGATCAAGTGGGCGGGAAAGCGAGACCCAATTCGACGAGGCAGGCACAAGCACGCGTCGGGGCACACGCAAACAGGGTAGCGATTCGACTCGGCTCGACTCGACTCACCGATGACGTCGGCGGGGCCGCGTCCCCGAACAAGTCGTTCGAGCTGCCCGCTTCGCTATCCGTCCCCGCGTCGGAGGCGCTCATTGTTGATTCTGACCAGAGGAGGCCGTAGAGAGACACGAGGCGTGTGTGTAATGCAGGCCTGTGTACATCTTGGCGAGCATTGACGGTTCACGTCGTTTTCTACGTGCCGTAGAGTCATAAATTTGGTTTGGGGGTTGTGTGTTCGCCTAATGCACCGGCTTCAAGCATGCCAGCATGGATTAATTCACTGCCCATCTCAGCAGAATGACCGCAAGGGCAACGAATCTCACGAATTGACGATGCCATTTAAGCATGCCGCACGGGTCTTTCTCTCGCCGCTGCTACAGTATTCTTTCAGTCCATCGTTGCTCCGTCTTCCGCTGGGTACGCCTACTAGGGGGGGTCCGTTGATCCCACGGGCCCCCTTTGGGCGTTCTAAGGCGAGATACTTGATACTAACCTTCTCCCGCGCCTCCAGTCGCCACCGCCGCCGCCACCCCGTCGCCCCCTTCCGCACCTGCTCCTTCGCCCCCTGCGTCCTCTCCGCCCTCCCCACCCCCACCGCCGACCCCGATGGGGATCGGCATCCCACCACCTCCGCGACCGCCAGGAATCCGTCGTGCTATTTGGTCCACCATTCGGTCGAACGGCAGACCCTGAAGGAACACGGTGCCAGGCCTTCAACACCGCAGGCGGAGGGGGCGTAGCGGCATGATTGGATCAGAAAAGGTTGCGTCTAAGGGAGGGTAATGACAGCACTTGGCACGGATACTAGAGCAACAAGAAAACAAAACCCTTCTACTGCATGGCGCATAATACTGTGGATTGATGGGGTAATCAAGCCTGGGGATTTCTATCCGCCACTGCAGGCGGGCGCGGCGAGAAGAAGGGGGTTCGAATCTGCTTCGGTCACCCCAAAACCCAACGAAAGACAGTTTTCAATCAAGCACATTCCCTTGTCCAGCTCGATCTCACAATCACCACAAATTCAGAGAGATCCCAGCAATGAAAGAAAACAGCTCCCCTCAGCCATGAAAGAAAAAAGCTCCCAGCAACGAAAGACAAAAAGCGTGGTCGACGGGCGGGCATGGGAGCCTACTTTCCCCACAGTATCCAGAACCTGAAACACACGTGTGGTTCTAACCGGCATACAAAATAGCTACAACACCACGCCAAGACTGCTCCCGACCGTGGGGTCTGCCGCCAAAACCTTGGCGAACAGCCCCCCCGCCGGAGAAGGCGACGCTCGTGAAGGATGTCATGCATGTGTTCTGCGTGAGGACAACGAACCCCGCCCGAATATCGGTTAGAACGAAGCAGGCTCCTACTTGGTGGTCCTGCCGAAAGCCCGCCCGAGAGCACCAAACGGTGAGATTGAGTCTCACTTTTCCTCTGTTGATATACGCCAGCGCACCCACGTACAAAGAATCAATCAGGACGTGCAGACAGCAACGACCGGGGGACGGGGCCGCTGCTGCCCGCCACAGCAGAAGCACGTCGCACATTTGTCGGCGCCCACCACTGCCGCACAAAGAAAGAAAGAAAGAAAAAGGCTACCTACCTACCTACCGCCTGTACACAGCTCTAGGTGTGCAGCATTCACTATCTCCTCGTCCCTGCCGTGCTGCTTGCTTCCTCACCCCGCGAGCTTGGTGATGAACAGCCCTTCCCCCCCGAAGACCACGTTCTTGAAGCCGGGAATCGTCTGCACGTCGTACTGCACCGACGTCGAGAACGCGACGACGCTGCCCGAGCTCACTCTCAGGGTCTCCCCTTCGCTGAGCTCCCGCTGGATCAGCGGACCGCTGCCAAAAAAAGAGAAAAAAAATCACAATCTTGGCGGCGCATTTTTTATTATATGTACAAGCATATTTATTGCGTTTTTTTGCGGAAGAAGAAATGGCGGGGGGTAACAAGGCGATCGAAGAGGCAGCGCTTATCCGTTCGCGTGGCGTTGCTGTACCGACGACCAAGGGACAGCTGTAACGGCCACATCAGCCACGCTTCCCCCGAATACACTCTAACGGTGTTGAAGAAAGAGGGAGCACGTTCATTAAAATGCTCCGTTAGCATCGTGGATACAATAATCGTTCTTAGCACAACGGATACACGCATGGGTTCGAATCCCAGCCGGGACACTTGTAGAGGCACCATTTACGCCGCAAGACCTTCAGCATGACGAGGGTTCCGTTCCCGGAGATCACTGTCACTGCTGTCGGAACCAGTTAACCCTAGACGACGCGTCGCTGTAATCACTTCGTGTCGCCAATATTCTCGCACGATCGCTTGCAAAACGAGCAAAGAAGCCTCTCCAAATTATTCTTCCACCAGCACCGCTGCGACCGATACGCCACTAACCAGAACGCGCTCGTGCTTGTAAGCGACAGGGACCATCACTTTGCGAGCGACACGGGACCATCACCAATACACCCGCGCGCCTTTCCCTACCGTACCGTACCGTACCTGGCCTTAACGAAGGCATCGCCCTTTCCGGTAAGTCGCTGGAGGACGAAACCTTCTCCGCCGAAGAAGCCCGCCATCATCTTTGTGAACTCCGTCTGCAAGGCACCGGTAAAGAAGGGAAGACGAAGTTGGCGATGGACACGCGAGCAAAGTCAGGTCACGAAAAGGCACTACCAAGACAAGTCAAGCTGAATGAGAGAGCGGACCGGTACGCAAAAAGGAACAAGGGATGTCAGGAAAGCAACTAATTTTTAGAGCAAATAAGTGGGACAACCATGCCCTTCCCGCGTAGGGGGAAGAATGCCGGCGTTAGCATGTGTGAAGTAATCCCAGACGCCATCTAGCAAAAAAACACGATCGCGATGTGTACTCGATCGTCGAAACATGCCCAACAAAGACTGCGAGGAGGGGAAACCGCGCTTCTGGAGAATGGTTCCTGCTGTCAGAATTAACAGGCGCGCTTCCCACAGCAAGGGCCACAACGCCGACAACACCTGGAGCAACATCACACCAACACTCGGCAACAAATCACTCTGCACTCCGTGGCGGCCCCGCGGCCTCAGTTCAGGTAAGCACAGCAGCGGCCCGGCATGTATGCAGCGGGAAGCCTCAGGCATTGGGCTATGCGGGGCCATCACAGGGCACCCCAAGGAAATGTCCGAAGGCAAGCAAGAGTTGTACACACAATCAATGAACCGCGGCAAAACCTGAGAGCCCCGGCTGGCGAAACCACGTGGAAGGGGTACATACCTTACTCAATTCCCACACACACACGCGGGTCCCCCTTCAAAATGTCGAGGAAATACTAGAGGGGTAAACGTCTCCATTCATCAGCAAGGCGAACATAACTTCGTGCGTTCTTGCAATACAGCGTCGGGGGTAAACGAGACAGGGAAAAACCTAGGCGCAACAAAGGTCATGCATGCGTACGTACTACACTGCAGGACCCTCCCCGCCCTTTTTTGACCTTGCTCTTCCTCCTTCTCGGCGTAGTAAAGCCACCTGTATGTCGATGGTATGGCTTCCGGCCAGGAACGCTCCCCTCTGGCAGATGACTTCCCCCCCGTAGGCGGCGAGGGGAAGGCGGACGATCTTGCTGGGGACGTCCGTGCCCAGGCCGACCTTGCCGGAAGCGTCGCCGCGGTTCACGTAGTCCGTCACGAACATGTTCTGACCCGTGATTACCCTTCTCGGCGGCACACGAGAGAGGGGGGTACGCAGATAATATATGCAAGGAGGGGTCGGCGGGCGGCAAAAGGCTCGTCGTGAGGACTTTCACTGAATACATAGCGTGTTCTTGCTCTCTCCATCGACGACGCGGCGACTTTTGCAAAGAAGCTGTCAAACTGGTGAGGATGCCCCAAGGTCGCGACGCACGAGAAACCACGTACTTCGCAATAGATTCTTGCGATAGGAAACTTGGCACTGTGACAGCAAGCGAGATTTCTTTTCTCCACGCCCAGCCCGTCCCCTCCTGGCGGTGGCCCACGAAGCATCAGCGGACGAACGCCTCCGGGGCCAGAGACCAAGAGGGGTGAAAAGCGTTGGCGCGTCGGCGCGTCGGCGGCGGAAGCCCGTGCGCTGGCGCGATGGTGCTTGGCGGGAGTCAACAACGATTCCCCCGTTCCTGCACTCTGCCCTCGCGTACCACGTATCGTACGTACCTCCGGAACATGCTGCTGGCGCCGCCGCCGGTGTTGGTGTCCATCTCGATGCCGTCCTCCATGAAAACGAGGTTGCCCGCTTCGGCCTGACCAGGGTTTGCGTGAAACCAGGCACACAATATTAAAAAAACAGATACGTTGGCACACCCCAATAACTAACATACATATGTTCCGAGGTTGCGTGTTCGGGGCGTTGTATTGTCGAAAATTTCACACGCTCAGTTGCGCGTCGTGCCTGCTGCTGTGAACCCTCGCGTTAAACGCAGCCCTTCACATATGGACACCGGATGGGGCCTGGCTGACGAAAAGTAAGGATCACGTGATCTCAAGGATGATGATGGTGCAAAGGTTCCATGTTTCTCTTTATCATCCAACACTCTACGCTGCAGGTAGGCGGTTCGCGAACAGGCCGGAAACCTTGACCGTTGCAGCCAAATCCTCAAGAGCTCTGGATCAGAGCGCAGCCGGTCATCAGAGTTTTCCCGTGCGGGGTGTATGGCCCGGCGGCGAAATATGAGGCGGATCCACACGCAAACTGATATCCATGATCAGAGACGCAGCACACGGCGACAGTTTCGAAGGTGAGCTGCATGTGTACACGTGCACATGTATATGTACAGCCATACATTGATGTTGGCTGGTCGTTAGCGGTGGAGGCTGTTCGGGTGTTCTTTTCCCTTCTGTTTCCAGGCGGCCGTTCGACTTGGAGAGTCTTTCATGTTCTTTGAAGCAGCTGCAACATTCTTTTCGTTCTTTTCAGCACAGCAGTAGCGGGTAGAACAGCGAAGAACACCTTTCTTGGTCACAGGTCTCCATATAACAGCAGTTTCGAAAACGCACACGTCTGCACTCACTCGTGGTTGCGCACGCTGGAGGAACACAACAAACACGCCCGCCCGCGAGAAAGGTCTGAACCGCTTAAATAGTAAAGCGGGTAGGCCATTCAAGTACTGCTAGCAATCTAAGAGGTGGGACGCCGTTGTGGCTCGAAGCGCGGCTGATGGATGGTGCGAGGTTAGCTGTCTGTCGGTCGGTCCCATTTGCCCTCTATGGTATGTGTCCTTGAGACTCACACTCCAAATGCTACACAGCGGACAACACCGAAAAAATAGGGAACGACGCCCGTTCTATTTTATTCCCGAGTACCCGCGGGGTATTTCGCAAGAGGAAATGTTTTTACCCGGACTAATCGCAGAGAATCTGCGCAGAAACCTCGCAGCGATGACCGTACAAATAGATGAACTCCCGCCAAAAAGAATGTCGCTGAAGATCACAGCAGCAGCAGTCTGTCACAGCAGGAGAAGAAAGTAGGATCTACGGCAACGATACCGCAATCGCATGCGAAGAGTCATCATGCACGGTGAGAAAAAAAAGTTTCCCCGCAAAATTGCGGCGAGGTACACGTATTCTCCTGCAGTTTTACGGAAACTACCCGTGGCACTACCGAAGGTTGAGATTACAACGATGTAACCATGATAGCAGTGGCCATGTTCTCTTGCGTCGCCCCCGGGAGGCACGCCCATCTACCTCCCGAAGGGGAGCCTTGTAGTATATACGTACAAGTTCCCACAAAAGATCTGCCGATGACGATACTTTGAGGATGGGACTACCATGTACTTTTGCATGGTTTGTGTGTTACATAGCACCAGAGGCGCGTGCATCCGAGCTAACTCTCGCAAGAAATAATAATGACACCAACGATGAATCAGTTTCGTACTCCACAGCCTTGAGATACCCAGGCATCGTTCAACTCACTCACCCTTATGACTTGGCCGGGCTCCAGCTCAAACGTAACCATCTGCGATTCCTGCCCTTCGACCTTGGACGCCATGTCGAAATCAAGGGGCTTCGCAAGAGCAAGGTGGTCACGCTCCGTGGCGGCTGGGGCATCGGAGACGCCTGTCGCCGCGACCGCAGCACCATCGCTGGACCTGCGGTTGCTTCTGCTGCTGCTGCTGCTGCTGCTCCTTCTGGAGAAGACAGCGGTCGTGGTGGCCAGTTCGCCGGACGCAATCGCCGAAAAAGCGGGGAGATTTGCTGCTGGCGCAGTAACGGAACCGCCCATCGCATAAACTGCCGTAGAACCATTGCCCCTGCGCGAGACCGCCAGCCGCCTGGCCGACTTTGCAAACCCGCGGCAAGTCATCTGTGTCTTCAGCCTCTTCTGGTTTCGTGGTGGTTGCGTGTGTGCAGGCAGCAGGCAGCCAGCCTTGTGTGTGCTCCTTGTTGGCTTCTAGAAAGTTGGGAATGGCCGCGGACGGACGACCGAAAAAAGGAGTTCCATCCGGTTTCCCAGGGATCTTGGGTGGGTGACATATTACTACTGGTGGCGCTTCGAAAAAAAACTCTCGACCTCAGACCTCCGATCCCGACGTTGATCTACACAAACAAGCGGATTTGCTTGCAGTGGATGTGCAGACAGCAAAAGTGCGTGGCTGGGTTTGCAGTGAGGAGCATACACCAGTAAACGCCACCACTTGAACATCAAATCAGCCAAAACCAGCTCAATATATATAATATCAGCGAGCACCGCAGTCGAATCGAAACGAAGAAATATCATCAGCACCACCAGCCGTGAATAGTGAATAGAGCAGCAAGCTTGACAGAATGACGTGGTTGTGCTGCCATGAGATCCGCTCTCGTGAGGGCAAAGATCCCTCCTTTGAATCTACCTCTAGTTAGTAACACAGCAGGCAAGCACCTACGTACTCAATGAAGCTAGCAGTGAACAAAGCACCGTGCCCACATCGAGTTGCCTATTACCCCGACCGATACGAGACGTACAGCCGGCTGTTTGATGTACAACCTACGCCATAAGTCAGCGCTGACTTGTAGTATTATAGCAGATATGCGGTACATCCAACAAGAGTACTACATACAACCGGGGTCCTTTCAACTCGTTTGAGCTGTTAGACCTCGGAATTATCCCCAGGGTTGTAATCCCTGTAATCAGCGCTGCCCCATGCAGTTCGTCGACTTACGCGCGGATTACTTGTGTCTTTTCACTTGGACGACTGGAATGTACCGTCTCTTAGGCGTTTACTCCTTTCCGGAAAAAAGTCGTCACAAATGGCCCTAGAGGGATTTGAAACCCGGTTGTGCTTTTGTCAGATAGGTGTACATACAGCATATCCATTATGCTCCAAGTCAGCAAGTCACCACTGACTTGTAGCACAGCAGTCATACCTACCGGGGGCAAAACATCGTTCTTCCAGAAAACACCAACCGCTTTGTAACAGTGAATCCTCTTGAACCTTACGTCTACGACTTGTTGGGCGGTATGACTTACGCTGTGCAGCGAGGGACGCTGTCCTCTCAAACTGCAGGTGTTGTTCGTGCGAGGTGTAGGTAGAGCAAACACACAGACGCCCAAGCTGTCTTCGCCTGGCGGTTAAAGACTTGGAGACACGCCTTCACAATACTGCACAAAACCCATCAGTAGAACCAGTCATTCTTGTACAAAAAAAACTCCAACACATCTCATAGCTCATAGCGCGTGTCGCAACGATTTGCACACGATGTGTTAAGATCACAAGCTGTGAGCGGGGCAGCCCACCGGGAGCACAACCCAACCAACGGAGATCGCAACGCCGTCAGTCTTTCTTCTTCTGTACCAGCGCCGCGGCATGCGCGCATGCATTCCCTGCTCTTCAAAGATAAAGCACGATCGTCCGGAACACGCCAACTTCCTCCAACCCTCCAACCCCGGCTACCAAACCAGCCAAGTCGCCACCCAGCTGCAGCCGGTCGGGATGAGCACGGCACAAGACCAGCAAACCACGGCGACGCCATGCCCTGTCGGCTGGAGCTCGCGCCAACAGGCTCCGCGCGCGCTCGTCATCCTCGGGGTCGGTCCTATGACACCTTCGGGTCCCGATGCTATCCGCTGCCGTTTCTCCTTGCTTAGAAACGATCGTCTCGTCCGCACCCCACCTAAGCAGAAGGTCCACCACCTGGGCGGAGCCGTGTCGTTGTCCGACTGCGGCTGCTGCATAGTGCAGCGCTGTTTCTCCGGATATTGTCTGGGCGTTGACTTCAGCACCGAGATTCAAGAGGGCGAGGGAAGCCTCGGGGCTCGCCTCTTCGGCAGCCCAGTGCAGGGGACGGGAGCCCGACGTATCCCTTGCTTGGATATCGGCTCCAGCTCCGACGAGCACATCAATGGCGCCTGCCGTGTTCCCTCTCGCTGCATAATGGAGAGCCGTGCGGCCGTCTGAGTTAGCACGGTGTACTTCCATCCCGTGATCGATTAGCATTCGCACGATTTCCACATGATCACTTAAAGCGGCGAAGTCGAGTGCGGACACTTCAAACTCGGTCAAGCGAACGGTGAGGTCAGCTCCGGCGGCCAAGAGAGCTTCCACCATAGAGATGTGCCCTTCAGTTATGGCGCGGCGGAGTGGCGTGGAATGATTGCCATCCTGGTAGTCGATATCAGCCCCATTGAGCAACAACAACCGCGCCGTCTCCACGCTACCACCTTCAGCAGCGGCATGTAGGGGGGTGCCATAGTCGTCCTCGTCGTCATGAACAGATGCTCCATTTTCCAACAGCAACTCCGCCATCGCGATATGGCCTCTTCGAACAGTCTCATGCAACGCGACTCCCCCGACCTTTGCTCCCGCTTGCACAAGCTTCCGCGCCAGACCTTCATGCCCCGAGACCACTGCGCTCTCAAGTGGAGCCGCCAGCCACTCTGACATCTCATGGGGCCACCTGTCATTATAAGCATTCATTCCAAGAGATTGTTTGAGGTAGGCTTCGTGTATTGTAGGAGCATGTCTAAGGCACCATGATGGGGGGCGCGGACCTACGCAGGCAAGGTTAGTTCGCGGAGAATTCGTGAGTATCCAACCCCCGACTACCACTACTACTGCTGTCGGGAGAGAGCTGGTGAAATACTGCGCAGTACTGCTGTAGAATATGTGCAGTAAGCATAGACGATGCGCATGTATGTGCTGGATGCAACGATGCTACGTATACGCGGTGTGATAAGTCACAGATGGTGCAACGATCTCATGCTGATAATTGAAGCGACGAATATGAGCAAGGAGCACTAGGAATTAACTGATTGGTGATGGTATCCAGCGAGATAGCGAGGTGACACGAGCCCCACCAGGCCCACTTCCAAGTTTCCCTCATCATGCTCCCAATAACTGAGATACACCAGCCTTGGAATCCCACTGAACGCATAATGCACATGTTCCAGAAGATGCGCTGCCAGCAAAAGTTGGCCTCCAGCTACCCTGGCTAGCAACCAGTAAACTACTCCGTGTGGCAAAGCCACAGCCACGAGCCACATCATCAGGCACGAGCCAGCCCTCATACGCTGTCGGGGGCTACATTGCGAGTCCGACCCCCCCGCAGCGAGAGAGAGGGTCGCCGGGCAGGACAGCTGACCTGGTGTCGAACATGAGGTCCAGCACTCGCTGCCCTTCCCCTTTCATCGTTTCTTTCGCCGCTTTGTTGTTCTCGGCAAGCTCCGTCTTTGCATACCGGTTGAGGAGCATGTTGAGAGAGGTGGCGCCTTTCCTTGTGGGCATAAATGCGACAGAAAGAGGCGGGTGGAGAGAGAGAGAGATAGAGACAATGACAGAGAGAGAGAATGAACCACAGCGGGCAGCCGATACATGAAATGACGCGTCTACTCTCTCTCCTTTGTTCGGCTAGAAACTTCGACTACGCTATCGGTTGAAACACTGGGAACGGAAAGAAGAAAGTAGGTGAGAGAGACACTGCAATGAATGGCGCATCGTAGGACAGCGCTGTGCCCGAATAACCCGCATTTCGATGGTGTAGCGTGACCACTCTTCCTCCCCAGTGCACCACATGTCACCCATCAAGTCAATCAAACGCGCGCGACGACGACAGGCCGGAAACAATCGATAGCGCTGGCGGTAGCCGTTCACAACCAAAGTACAGATGGGCGTGGCGGCGGAAACCCGAATGAACGAAAGGAAACCTTACCTACGTTCCGACACACCTATTCAGGCGAGCGGAAAGCGCGACCCAGCAGCACCGACAAGTACCAGCAGTCGCTTTAGGAGTGCTTCTTTCGAACCACCTAGTGCGGTGATGAGAGAGGGTGCGAGAAAGAGAGAGCGGGGTAAAGGCGGGAAAAAGACTAAAACTGAGCAGGGCTAACGAAAGGACGAGGGAAAAAACAGTTGGCTCAAATTACAGAGTGTGTGGGGATTGGGGGCGAGTGTGATAGCTTCTACCTACGGGAAAAACCACAGACAATTTTTGTCTGCACAAGGACACAAAATCAAGAACACATCGGGCAAGTTCAACAAGATGTTAACATAGACTGGACTAATATAGTTATACCAACTAGATAGAATCAAGAGCCGGTAGCATGGACCGAGAGACAGAGGGAGAAAATATCCTAGACGTACGCACAGCAGAGCACACCACAGGTGATGGGGAAACCGCAAGGAATCCAGTGTGGAGTAAAAAGGAGATATGTGCTGCAAAACACGAATAATGCAACAATAGAGGAGGCGTACCGGATATCGAACAAGTGAGACAACCGGAGCACAGCATGATGCCATATACCTCTGCTACACAAGGGTATGCACGAGTAACCACCACCGCCTAGCAGATATGCATATCGTATGTATGTGAGAAGGGAAATACACGAAAATTAAAATTCAACACACGCATGCATAGGCCGAGAAATCGAAAATCTAGGTCAGCGGGGGGTCGGGGCGGATTTTGAGCTGAGGCTTCTGGCTGAGGCGGGGACATACAACGGAGACCGGTTATGTGCGGAATGGCGCGTTTTACAGATGAGGGTGCTGCGTCTTCTCTCTCTCTCTCTGTGTATATCAGTATGTCATCTGGACCTGGAGACAGTTGAGAGGTGGCGTGCATACCACGACCCCCAGGGTTGTCTTCTGAAGCTGCTCATGCATACCCCATATGAAACTTCTGGCCCAGCCAGCCTCTAGCCCAGATTTCGGGCCGCGAGTCGGTTCAACATCCTTGGTAAATACGACGACTGGCTGCGGTTGTTTGTGTGCAGCATGATGATGAAAAAAAACTAAAACAGTCCGAACGCACAGCCGCAGTCTACAAACGTCCCGCCGCCGCTGCCACAATGGACATGTAGTAGTTCCGAAAGTATATACCCCGATCGCCAATAGTTGTACCTCCTGTTTGTTCTACATCGTCTTGAACGACATCCCAAGCCGAAAATCGATTGCGCAGTATTATACATGTGCCGAACTCAGGACTCATCTCAACGCAGGGCTTTCAGGAATCCCTTCTCCTACGAGGCTCGAGCTTCCGTCTCCGTGGTGGTCTTTGTGTGGTCTAGGCCCACCGTCAGACCTCGGCCGACCCCCAGTTTCCCTCTCACGTGTACTGCTCTGTACATTTGGAAACAGCACAGGACAATATTCCGCGAGAATCTTGCCTATCCGCCCCCTCCTGCCCTCTTTCTTCTCTCTCTCTCTCTCTCTCTCTCTCTCTCTCTCTCTCTCTCTCTCTCTCTCTCTCTCTCTCTCTCTCTCTCTCTCTCTCTCTCTCTCTCTCTCTCTCTCTCTCTCTTTCTCTCGCTCGGCCCAACCACGACATTCCGTACTGTTGTAGTTCGGGGACCAGAGTAGACCATCACACTCACCACAGCTCCATCAGGCAGACCATGCAAACGCACGACAATTCGACGTCTGTTGTATGTAGTTCGGGGACCCGAGCAGACCATCACACACCAGTGCTGCACGGCTGAAAACAAAAAAGTACGCACGCCAAAGAGAGCTTCCAACGGGAAAGCAGCCCCTTGCGGAAACCTCTCTGATCAGGCCGCTTGCTCGGCAACAGACTTCCCTAGCGCCGGCTCTAGAGGGCGAACGAGAGGCCAACCGGTCCAAATTTCAAAAGAGTTATGTAGACAACATGCCAGGGTATGCTTTATACGTCCAGTGACGCACGGTAGGGTGAAAAAGTTCGACTTTAGCTAGAGCGTACCACAATACAGTAGCTCCAAGATCAGGGAGCGAGCTTCAAACGCGAAACGATCTCTGCGCGAGGTTGGTGTTTCGCGCCCTTAATATGCTGCCGTCATATACCTAGGTTGTATTGTCACCTAATGCAAAATGTTTGAGGCGATTACGTGCGGCAGGGGATAAGCATGGTGTATTCAAAGTTCAAATTTCAGGAGAGCCCGCGCCTAGGGTCTGAACGTACCCTCTGCATGTTGCGCATGCACATCCATTGGATACACCATGCCCAGACCACGAATAGGCGTGCCCCTGCGTAAGCTGTACGTGTAACGAAACATTTTGTCATTTTGGTGGATACCCTGGAATAACGGCCGGGATAGGTCGAGCTGCTGCCAGATGAACCGTCGGGTAGGTAGGTGGGGCCAACGGGCCTGTGGGATTAACAGTCCCACAGCTCAACCGGGTACGCCACCGGCGTCGCTTCGGAACCAGCCTGGTAGCCCTACTACACCCGTAAGCGGGGGTATGCAGCCAATACTAACCCTTCGCCAGCTCACGGAAGGCGCGCTAACCCCGCGTCAACCAGTGGTCGACAACACAGGAGCAGACGTCACAAGTGAACGTCCACCGAGCCGGAGCAGGAGAGAGGGCAACCTGAACCCCGTCGCCGCGACAAAGCGTGATGCGAGAGATGCCGGGGCACGCGTCCGTCGGACGGGAGGAAAGACCGGGTCGGGCAGGAAACGCAAGAGGAGGCCCTCTTGTTAGGGATACGGGTGGCCTACCCAGTCTTGAGAGCAAGATCGTGGAGGAGGATCACTCCAAGCAATACAGCGAGGCGAGGAGGGAGGCAAGGCCCGTAAAGATCGCGCGATTGCCGAAGACGAAACGGCGAAAATCAGAGGCCGTGGGGAATCACTGCATTGATTCTCGGCGTAGGAATCACATCGGGAACCCAAGACAAGCCGGTTATCAGCCAAGCACGCGGAATGCGGGTAGGAGACAAGCTGCCCCAGCTGTGCTATCTGTAGGCCAACCAACAATAAAGAAGCGAAAAAAGGCGTGCGGTCGTATGGAATGCGGATGGGCTGCACACAAAATCTGGCGCCGAGTGTCGCAAATGCCCCCAGGAGTGTAGCAAACAAGCAGCATGGAGCGTGCGCGCTAAATTATGAATGGGGAAGGGGGGGGG